GTAAAACAACAAATTCAGTCACAAATTCAAGTGGCCGACCAAGCTCGAGGAAAAAGTTGTCAGCATCTCCTAACAGCCGCTACACTCTTAAATCATACTATGCTCTGAGAAACGTTGTGCTATAATCATGTGGACTACAATATAATGCCATTAAAATGCCCTCGAGCGGTTGCACTGGAAGAGCTGCATTTATTTACTTGTTTTTCATTAAACTAATATCTGCAGGAGATTTGAAGTAAAAAGAGGAATATACAAGTACAATGAAAATGTACCTTTTCATTTATTGTATTGATGAAAAAACTAGAGGCTATAATAAGACCAAAACTGGGACAAAAAGGAAGCGTTTTCTGGTGCCCAAATAATTGGTTAGCAAGAGAATTGAGGCCTCTGAAAATATAACAATCCCCAAGAACAGCGGGGGCATATCCTATATCCTCCATTGGCATGCATATCCTCATTGCTTTGAGTCAGTTTAGCCCACTGCCTTTATCAGGAAGAGCACGCTAAAGCTCAATCACAAATCTATTGTTGGGACTAAGATGGTGCTTGAGACCAAGAGAAGGAAGATCATGCAATGCAAGCCGCATGGCGGTTTACGTTTGTTATTTGTCACCTGCCTCAGAAATTTAGATCCCGTCGGAGCTTTAAAGCAGAACTAACTTCCGGACCCATGGACGATCCTCCCATGTTTACCAGTTAACGGCTTGGATCATTCATGTACGTCAGAACCACCTCCAATGCTACGCCTTGGGACTTATGTTAGGTATACAGCCTAAAGCTAGAGTCCAAGACCGTAGACTGATTTTGGGCATTGGTTTGAGTCCCCGTTTCTCTGTGATTAATTTGATTATATGTCACAGTTCAGGAATCCAGATCAGCCCAGACCCGACAGGTATAAGGTAGAAATATCTATATATCTTGAGTGTGTTTAATTTGATTTGAACTTTTAGAGTTGTTAATATATATCAAAATTTAGATGTAAATTTATTAATTTAAATTAAGATTTAGATTTAATTTGAATATTATCTTTTCAAATTAAATCTTTTATCAGTATTTTTTTATCCTATCTTATTCTTATCTTATAATCTAATCTTATCTAACAAGGGACCATCAATCTATTCTCCTTTATTTATAGCACAAATCAGAAAAATAACAAAGACATTTCAAAATTAATTTTTATTTGATCATTTTTAATAAGAAACTTCTTTTTTTTACAAAATATAGATATTTTAAAAGAATAATTTCAAGACTGATAGCCAAGACTGGTAAGTGGATAAACACTAAAACACTACTAAATTTTGAATAACAACCATATGTAGTGTCTTTTTTGGGTAATTGACAATATATAAAAATTATAGTGCATCAAATATAAACCCATAATTAATTTAAGATCTTATCTTAATAATAAAGAAGAGAGTTTGAAATATTGAGATCTTAAGTTCAAACTCAGGAAGTGTGAGTTTGGTGTACTTCGTATCAAATTTATGTAATTATATATTAATTTGTTAGTCAATTATTTGTTATATTAGATATAATACTTGATTATGATTGTAATTATACATGTAACTTTGTCAAAATAAAAAATTAAAATTTCAAAAATTATTAATTTTCTTTACACTCTATTTTCCATAACCTGTTATAATGATTAACTAAGCAATTTCGTTTATTTTATAAACATTTCAATTTCTAATGTATTGTCATAACATGTGAGTCCGTAAACTCAACTTTTCGACGTGAAAAATGAATCACCACCATTTTTTTTTAAGGTATGATTGGTCATCTAAGTAAATCTTTTTTATAAACGTGTGATTAGTCATCTAAGTAAATCTATACATTTTAATGAAGTCCTAAACTCGAATTAAGTTCATTTAAAAAAATAAGTTCTGATCTACAACATAAGCTAGGTTTGAAAGTACAATTGTGAAGAAGGTATTAGCACCTTTCCAACCCCACTCAATGTGATACCTAATTAATTATATGTTATCTTTTCAGCATTAATAAATCAATTTTAAAATCAATTTTCAATTTGATTTCTATTAATTATTTTTATATTTTATTTTGTCATTTTACAACAAATAAAAATCTTTTGATATTGAAATGTCTTTTAGAAATTTTCTCATTTAGAAATTTTCAAGAAAATTATCCCTTATAATATTCTTGAAATTCTATGGTTGGAAAGTTTTTATTACTCATCTATTTATTTATTTATGTTAAATTTATTTTATATGTTTATTTACAAACTTTTTTTATTATTTTGAAATAAATAAAATTATTTAATATTGAAATTTATTTATTTATGTTAAACTTATTTTATACGTTTCTTTAAAATTTATCAAATAAAACTAATTGAGAATAAAAAATAAATACCAAACTAAAATAAAAAAGAAAAGAAAAAGAAATAAATAAGTCCACACCTTTTAATGTGAACTGAGCCCTGCCCTTTGAAAGCCTATTACTTCAAACAGACCACAAGTTAGGGTCGGACTGAAATGCGACTCAGTCAACATGAGTCAACAGTCAACTCCTTCTTCAAAAGAATATACTGTTGATGGGAATCAAACACCAAACCTCTTAACTTACTGGCTAACATACAATTCAATGGTGTCCTTTAATAATCTATCTATATAAACCCCAAACAAAACCCTAGCTCCATTTTTACCCAAGCTTTTCACTCACTAGAATGAAAGCTTCTCTATCTAAGACTCAACTTTTCTTAGTTTCGAATTGTTGTTGCCATCGCTTTTTTCATTGTCAGCCACCACACATCGATGTCAAAATCTCTCCAAATTATACTTAGAAACTTTTTTTGAGTTGATCTACCACTTAATCGTAATCATTTTTTCAAAATTAATTTATTTTTTTTATAATTAGAGAAAAGAAGATTCAAATCTTACTCTTTAGATAATGAATTATGCACCCACTAATGAGTTAAAAGTTGGGTGCAAAATCAATTTAAATTTGTCTAAATATAACTTTGAAATCTCAAAACCCAAAAAAACTTAGAAAATTCAAAAAAGCGCTTTCTCTCTTGATTTTTTTATCTTTTCCTCCTCATTCCCTCCGTATTGATTCTTAACCGATGAATGAGAATTTATACCCATTTTTGTTTTAATCTTAACTTGAATTGGGATTTTTTCAAAAAAAAAAAAATTGAATTTCGAAATTGGTAGGTTAAGAATCATTCAAAAAATGTTTCTTTTCTTTTTTCTCTTTCTTTTATCTTTATCGTTATCTTTCTTTTTCTTTTTTTGTAGATTTTCTTATTTTTACAATTTTTTTTCAATATTTTACTTATTTTTATTTTTATTGGTAAGAAACTTGGAACAAAATGAAATGTCTACATGGACCGTACAAAACAACCTTTATGATAGAAAAGTTACCAGGGATACTAGGTTTTATTAAAGTATTAATGTCTATTAACTTTAGGACCAAGAGAACAAGGTCCCCTCTATTTTTATTGGACTGACCCTTAGAAGTGTCAAAATCTTAACTGGTTAAATCAACATTACGAGCGTTGATGAACTGGACCTGTAGGAATTTCAGATCATGAGCATGTAAGATAGTGGGTATTGGACAATTCCAAAGGTGTTAAGGCACTTATCAATTCCAAAAGTGCTAAAGCATCTGATAATTTCAGTCCTCAATTCACAATTATTGTGAAAAGTCAAATAATTTTCATTTCATTTTCTAAGTCATTTTGAAACAAAAGTTTTCAATCATTTAAAAAACTTGTTTCTCATGAAAACATACATTTATAGTATTCATATTTACATACACATATACATTCAAAACACTTTCCTTCAAAACTTTGGGCATCAAATATATCCAACCAATCATTCATAATTTCAAACTTTTCCAAGTCTCTAATACATGCTTAACTATGCTCTAAATAATTTTAAAATGTATATCTACTCAAAGTTCTTTCCGAACACTTCCAACCAATCGAACCTTACTTAACACAACAAATTGAATAAATAAATTTTGTAATAAATAAATACTCATTTTCAATCTTATCTCATTGTCACTTATTTTTAATAATTTCCATCAATCCTTCTTCCAAACGGCATATTCATTAAATAAACAACTTTTTTTCTTCATTGTTTTTCCTTGGTGAGTTTTTTAATGTAAGAATCTAACCAAATCTTAAAAATTTAATAAAAAATTCTGATTTTAGAGAGAGAAAGGCTGAAATCAGAAAAATAATTATTTTTAAAGTTAAAATCCGTATGTTTAGCACTTAGAAAACCCAAGCTTTGATATACTATGTTCTGCTTTTGCTATGTGCAAGTGGGAATCTAGTATTCAATATAGCATTATGTATAGGCGTTGGGCAATTAGCATAATGCCTTATCTATTCTCTTTTATAGGAGATAAGCCAGCAGGTTGCCTTGCCCTTTTTTTTTTTTTTTAATTTCCTTAATGGAATCTGGGTTAGCAAACCACATACATGGTTAATTAATTCTGTAAGTTCCCCATTACACAATTATTGTATCAATTTATAATTTATGATGAGTTCAATTTCTTTTCATCTTTATCAAAAAGTTCATTTATCCTCCTCGACCTCTGGGGCATTTTGATGTTGTGGCTAATTACAAACATTCAAATATCGATGGTCTTGTTCCGAGACAAAACTATGTAAAATCTTCTTGTCGATTTCGTCTCATCCTCACTTTGGCTCTTTTCACTTACTGATACATAAAATTGACCTGTCCTTTTGTTACACACTTGGACACAAACCTGCTTCCATGTATCTGCTCTCAACTTACCTTCTTTACGAAAGAGGAAGGAGAGAGCATGAAAGATCCTGATCCATTGACAGGTTGTGTCCCGTACAACGCCCTATCCACCAGCTAAGATAGGTAGCAATTTTGAAAAAAAAAACCAAAAAACCTGCTTCCATATATCTTTTTGTCGAGTTTGCTCCTTGCTTTTATATATACGTTCAAACAATAGAGAAACAGCACTCTGCACTCATTTTTCTCTGCTAATTAATCATAGAGGTCCTTGAGGAACCTAAACCACAGCCAAGCACCATAATGAGAAAAGCTCTCCTAGTAATATACTGCATCGTCCTAACTATAGGCAAATGCGGCGGTCCACTTCTGATGCTCGCCTACTTCATCCATGGTGGGAAACGATTCTGGTTCTCGAGCTGGCTCACAACTGGTGGTTGGCCCATCACCCTTTTCCCCATCGCCTGTGCTTATATGTACAGTTGCAGGACCGAACCCACAGCAAAAAACAAGCTTTTCCTCATGAAACCTCCCTTGTTCGTTGCCTCCGCAGTCATCGAAGTCCTTACAGGCGTTGATGACTACCTCTACGCCTATGACGAGGCCCTGCTCCCCGTTTCAACTTGTTCTCTAATCATTGCCTCGCAGCTGGCTTTCACAGCTGGGTTTGCTTTCATTTTGGTGAAGCAAAAGTTCACTTCTTATTCCATAAACGCTGTGTTTTTGTTAAATGTAGGAGCAGGTGTTCTAGCTTTGCGTGCGAGCAGTGACCGAACTGATAATGAATCAAACAGGAAATACGCTTTAGGGTTTATAATGACTCTGGCTGCAGCGGCCTTGTATGGATTTGTTTTGCCCCTGGTGCAGTTAATGTACAAGAAGGCAAAGCAAGACATGAGCTACGCCCTTGTCATGGAGATTGAGATGGTGAAGTGTTTGTTTGCTGCTGTTTTTTGCACTGTTGGGATGCTGGTTAACAACGATTTCGAGGTCTCACTTTTTCTTGCTCTTAATTATTCGCCAAAATTAGTGCAATATTTCATCTAATGATGCCGAAGATACGTCCAAATTTAGTTAATGGAGATACTAATATAGTTCAATTAATTCCTAATTCTTGAGCTAAGAAGGTGGGAGCAACACATGCAGTGTAGTAACGATAGAAAATAGGCCTTTAAATGAGCAAAACGGCCGGCCACGGATAGCTTCGGTTTTACTAAATTACTTTTCTCTCTCTCTCAGAGCCACCTTTACAAACAAGCTATAAATCTTTTCTAGGTTTTCAGAAAGACCCCTTTTGGACTGCAAATTGAAAGCCAACTTTATCAATCTTGATCATGATAATAAGGAAGCCATGATACTGATTGGCAGCTGTGAGGAACAAAGATAATCTACTAGGATGAAGAGTCATATGCTGAAATGAAAAAGTATTTTCTGTTATTCTAAGCAATGACCAACATTGGAATGTTACACTTTGTAGGTAATTCCAGGGGAAGCAAGGGAATTCGAGCCTGGGGAAACAATGTATTATGCTGTTGCGATTTGGAGTGCAATAATATGGCAGTTTTTCTTCTTGGGAGCAATAGGAGTAATCTTTTGTGCTTCATCTTTGCTATCAGGCATTATAATTGCGGTTCTATTACCTGTAACAGAGATTCTGGCCGTAATTTTTTACAAAGAAAAATTTCAAGCAGAGAAGGGTCTAGCTTTTGCACTCTCAGTCTGGGGCTTCGTTTCGTACTTTTTCGGTGAGATAAAACAAACCGAGAAAAAGAAACCAACTCCTAAAACAGAAATACCAACAGTTCCCAGACGTATGGAAAGTGCTTAGAAGATGTTGATGATCCGAACAATTCCAAGCTTGCTTGGCTAATGCTCAGTATATTGCTCCTGTACATTTGCGAAAGAAGCAAGAAATATATACTAGTTAGATAATAAGAAATATCCTTTGTATGTTCTTGTAGGGGTTCATGAACGTCTTATGTTTTCTTATGCATGTATTCGTGTACTGTTATTCTCTTAACGTTTCTTTGCTGATATTACATTAACATTCAAAATCGATATGTAAACAATTATTGAAAAATCATTACTATGTTAATTTGTTAAATAATTAATTGAAATGGGGTGGCTATTTCTTCGTTTATGTCCCCATAGCATCAATGTCCCTGTGTAAGATCAATCAAACCTCTTTGATATACCTCTTACAAAGTAACACAACAAATTCAGTCAGAAATTCAAGTGGCCGACCAAGCTGGAGGAAAAAGTTGTCAGCATCTCCGAACAGCCATTACACTCTCAAATCACCCTTTACTCTGAGAAACGTCGTGCTATAATCATGTGGACTATAATATAATGCCATCAAAATGCCCTCGAGCGGTCGCAATGGAGGAGCTGCATTTATTTATTTATTTATTTATTTATTTATTTTTCAGTAAACTAATATCTACAGGAGAATTGAAGTAAAAAGAAGAATATACAAGTAAAGTGAAAATGTATCTTTTCATTGTTGTATTGATGAAAGAACTAGATGCTATAATAAGACTGGGACAAAAAGGAAGCATTTTCCTGGTGCCCAAACAATTGGTTAGCAAGTGAATTGAAACCTCTGAAAATAGAACAATCCCCAAGAACAGCGGGGGCGGATCCTGTATCCTCCAATTTTGGCATGCATATCCTCATGGCGGTTTGCGTTTGTGATTTGTCACCTGCCTCAGAAATTTGGACCCCGTCCGAGCTTTAAAGCAGAACCAACTTCCAGGCCCATGGACGATCCTCCTGATGTTTATCAGTTTACGTATATATAGGAATGGGCTTGGATCATTCAATGTATGTCAATCAAATTAAAATTAAAATTAAATTATAACAAAAATTTACCATTCAATAAGTATTGATCAAAATTTAAATATAACTAATGTTTTAATAATTTTATTACATATTATTGACATTCTGGTTGAACTCTATCCATATCTAAGTTTCGAGTTTCAAAATTAATTTTTGTTTGATCATTTTCAATAAGCAACTTTACATTTTTTTTGCAAAATATAAATATTTTAAAAGAATAATTTCAAGACTGACAGCCAAGACTGGGAAGTGTATAAACACTACTAACTTTTGAAACCCTTTCAATATAGTTTAAGGAATGTCAATAAACACCACTAAATTTTGAATAATAACTGTATGTGGTGGCTTTTTGTAGATAATTGATAATATATAAAAACTATATATTATCAATGCATTAAATATAAACTTTTAATTAATTTAAAATTTGAAAACCAATGATATCTTATCTCGATAATAAAGAAGAGAGTTTGAAATATTGAGATCTTAAGTTGAAATCCAGCAAGTGCGAGTTTGGTCTAAATCTGTATCAAAATTCTATAATTATATATTAATTTGTGGACTCAATTATTTTTTATATTAGATATAATACTTTATTATGATTGTAATTGTGCAGGTAACTTTGTCAAAATAAAAATTTAAAATTTTGAAAAATATTAATTTTTTTTACACTCTATTTTCCATAACCTATTATAATGATTAACTAAGCACTTCCATTTATTTTATAGACATTTCAATTGCCATAACATGTGAGCCCGCAAAATCAACTTTTTGATGTGAAAAATGAGTCGTCATCAATCTTTTTTGTTGAAGTGTGATTGCTCACTTAAGTGAATCTATACTTTTTAATGAGATCTTAAGTTCATTTAAAACGATAGATTTCGTCTACAAAATAAGTTAAATTCGAAAGTACAGTTACCTGTGAGAAAAGTATTACCATCCTCTCAACATCCACACTTAATTAATTATATGTTATTAATAAATCAATTTTAAATTCGATTTCTCTTAATTATTTTTATATTTTATTTTGTCATTTTACAACAAATAAAAATCCTTTGATATTGAAATGTCTTTTGAATACTCCAATACTTATGATAGATTTCAAGAAAAATTTCTTACCTAGAAATTTTCAAAAAAAATCCCTTATAATATTCTTCAAATTCCATTATCATAAAGTTTTTATTTACTCATCTATTTATTTATGTTAAGCTTATTTTATATGTTTATTTACAAACTTATTTTTTAAATATTTTGAAATAAATAAAAATACCCTAAAATTTCTCCTAAACTCTCCAACTCTTTTAGTAGAATTTAAGAAAACTTTTTTCACTTACAATTTTTAAGAAAATAATTCCTTATAACATTCTTGAAATTTCATCATTGTAGAGTTTTTATTTATTTATTTATTTATTTATGTTAAACTTAATTTATATGTTTATTTCAAATTTATCAAATAAAGCAAACAAAAACTGGGAATAAAAAAATAAATACCAAAATAAGATAAAAAGGAAAAGTAAAAGAAATAAATAAGTTCACACATTTTTATGTGAATTGGGCCTGCCTCTTTTAAAGTCTGTTCCTTCAAACAGGCCACAAGCTAGGATTGGACTAAAATGGCAGAGTTTTTATTTATTTATTTATGTTAAACTTGTTTTATATGTTTATTTGAACTTTATCAAATAAACCAAAAAAAAACTCAAAATAAAAAAATAAATACGAAAATAAGATAAAAAAAGAAAAGAAAAAGAAATAAATAAGTCTACACTTTTTTATGTGAATTGGGCCGGCCTTTTTTAAAGTCTATTACTTCAAACAGGCCTCAAGCTTGGATTGGACTAAAATGGGCCTCACTTATCACTTCAAGCAGGACACAATCTAAGATTGGACTAAAGTGGACCTCAGTCAACGTGGATCACCATGTCAACTACTTCTTTAAAAAAAACATGCTATTGGTGAGAATCAAACATCAGATCTCTTACTCATAACTTGGTTTAGTTTTTTTTTTTTAGTTTAAAAGTTATTATAAAATTATTATGAAAAATAATAATTTTTAAAATTAAGTTAAAACTATTTAATAAATTATTTGATAAAATAAATTATATAAATTTTAATTTTAATTAAATTTTTTCATAAATGATATTTATGTTATCTTTAATTATTTAATAAACTAAAATGAAACAAATTTGTTTTGAGCTTATATATAATTTGAAATGTTAAAATCAAAATAATCAGACCATGATACTTTAATTCTTCAAGAAAAAAGAGAAAATAGGAAAAGATGTATTGGATATTAAAATCTTTTTTGACGAACAAGAGAAAACCTTTAAATAGTACATAAATGCAGTTTTAAAATTTAGATTTTCTTTTTTCTTCATCTTTATAAGAACAAAAAAAAATCTCATATTTTGTTATTTTTTTATTGGGTCTTTTATTTTTTTTTAGTAATCTTTGTAGAGAAAGGTAGAGAAAAAGAAAGGATTTGCATTAGAGAAAAATGATTTGCAAAAGAAGAGAGAAGAGAGGGAGATTGATCGAGAGAAATAAAGTATTTATTGAAAAGATGACGTGTTTTTAAAATAAGGATATTCTTTAAGCTTTTTTTTTAAATTTTATTTTTTAAAAAAAGTTATTTTTTTATAAACTTTTCAAAACCCTATTTGACTCAACTTTTATTTTTAAGAGGTTAATTAAATTTTTTTTAAAAAAAGTCAAATCAAATAAGTATTTATTTTTATTTTTTTAATAAAAATAGAATTTTGAAATTGGTAAATTAGGACCAATTTTATTCAAAAAAGAGAAAATTATGAAAAATAACTTTTCTTGACAAGGACATTTCAAAACTAACTATCAAAATAAATTTAATTATTTTTAGCCATATTTAACTATGACTTGATAAAAATACCTTTAAAACTATTTTAAATAAATTAAACCATTCATCACAATTTTTCCTTATTTGTGCTTCTGATTTACCTCTCTCATCATCCCACTCTCTCTAATTTTATCGATTTCTTTTTCGGTATTTGTCTGCTATGCTTTCGATTTTTCTCTCTCATGTTTTCAGATTTCTCTTTCTTACGCTTTTAAGACACCGAACAATGGTTTTGATATGCTTGGATGGGTGGCTATTTAGAAAATTTAATTTTTATCTATTTTGGATAAAATTAAAATAGTAGAAATGATCACAGTTATTTGAAATAGCTTTTGATTGGATCAATTTGAGGACGTAGACACCAATAAACTCAAAATTTTAAAATTTATAAACTTAGATTTTCAAAGAATTTTTTTTTATTTTTAGTTGAAATAGATGTTTTAGATAAGAAAATTTGTGTTTTGATTTATAAAAATATATTAGAAATATTTTAATCAATACCAAATTGTCAAAAAAAAATTTTAAAAAATGAAGAGGGTTAAGAGGATTTAAAATTTTAGTTCATAAGTAACAATAACATTTTAGGCATTAAAATATAACAAAGTGTTTTTGAATATAGCATGTAATAATAATATTTTTTCAACATGTAACAATAATATTTTTTTTCAACGTAGCATGTAACAACTTAACCATGACGTGTCACATATAAAAGTACATGGCGTGTAACAACCTAACTATTGCGTGTAGCATGTTTTTGTACATAACGTGTAATAATAGTATGTTTTTTCAACATAATATATAAGAACCTAATCATGACGTGTTATATATTTTTGCATAGGGTGTGTAACAACTTAACCATACTGTGTAATATGTTTTTATACATGACGTGTAACATTATGACATGTAATTTCATTAAGAGTAATTTTATCTAACTTGACTAAAATTAGTTAAAATTATAAAAAAAGCTACTTTTAAAAAAAATTATCTTTAAGAGTTATTTTTAAAAATACCCCTTCAAAATATATTTTTTTTCTTTTTTTTTACCTTTATCATTATTTTTCTTTTTTTTCAGATTTTTTAAATTTTTTATTTAATTTTGTTTTTATTAATGAGATGCTTCGAAT